ACCAACATTTGGGGACTGCAAAAGAAAAGAAGAACCCTCCTTTCTTATTTAAAAGAAGGGGCCAGAGAGGTCTCTCAGCAGAAAGATGGTGGTGTGTATGTGAGAGAGGTCCGAGGGCCAAGGGCTGAATGTGAGCCCCTCCAGTGTGCACCATGGGCACAATCACCACAGCGCCCCCAGAATTGCGCAGCACGGTGGCCCTGCTGATTACCACAAACCCATACCCCCACCCCCACCCCGGGCCCATGGGGACCTGTACCGGAGGCAGCGTGGGTGAGGGTCGATTAAGGAGAGAAAGGAGGGAGCAAAGTCTAGGGCTTTTCATTTTAATCTTAAAGGAAAGAGCAATGCTGGTATACAAATATTGTGAGGGAAGGGAGCCTGAGTGATGGAGCGATTAAAGATGGAGACAGTTAGTGAAGTGAGCTCCCAAAGGGGCTGGGATCAAGTGTGGAGGGGGATAAATTAGTTTGGGGCAATAATGTGTATTTGACTGAATGGGGCAAAATTAAATTATTTACCTTTTAGAGAGTAACTTGATCTCCATGTTCTTTTGGGGGCTTTTATCTGAACTGTGTACTGACTGCAGCCCTAATTAGCATCAGTTTTATCCTGTCTTGTGGCTGGGATTGTGTCTTATTATTTTTTGTGCTTCTTAGCACCTGGCAGTAAGCTCTTTGGGTGCCAAATCTGTGTTTTCTGGCTTGGAATCAAATATCTGAAGTGAACATTCAAACTTTTTGACCAAAAAGAATCTATGACTAGTCTCTTCCTACAATGCAAGGAAGAAGAATTGGGGCGTTATTGGGTGGCAGGGGTTTTGGTGGGTGGGTAGAGAAAAAGTAGAAGAGTCTGCTCCCCTCATCCTTGTCAGCTCTGTGCCATTTACCCATGTTCACATTCATCATCTCGTGTGAACACCCCCCACAAGAGACAGAGCATTACCCCATTTCATAGAGGAGGAAACAGAAACTGGAAAAGGAAATGCCTCACTGACGCCAAGCACAAGTGGCAGGGGCTGGGTTCAGACCTCAGCCCACCCAGGATCACAGTCCTTCTTCCTAGGACCAGGTTGAGCTGGAGAGAAAGAGGAAGAGGGGCCTGTGAGGTCCAGGTGGAGATGCTTTGCAGGCACTCGCAGAAGCTTGGAGGTGTGGTCCAGCTGGAGACCTACCGGATATTAAAACATCGTATCAAACTGCAGTGATGAAATCTGCAGTGCTAGCACTAGGGGCAGCGCTGTTGTTTAAGAAGCCCCCCACCATGTGAATGATATATACATTCTATATTTGCACCTAAAATTTCTATATATATGTTTTTTAATGTTTAAGTCTTTAACGCATCCAAAATGTATTTTCATGTATGCCGTGACACAGATATCTAGTTTGATCTTTTTCCAAATGGATAACTAGTTTGCTAAGCACCATTTATTGTTCCAGCACCATCTTTTCTCCCAGTTCCCTATCTCTAGACTATTAGATCTGTTGATTGTTTTGTCTACTTCTGGGCCAATACCAGATTTTAATGAGCAAAGCTTTATCTCACTGGTAAGGTAAGTACCCCTCCCTTCCTGGCCCTTTATTCTTTTTTAAAATTACCTTGGTCATATTGCACATTTGCTTTTTCACATGCATTTTGGAATCAGATTGTCAAATTTCCATGAAAAAAATCCTGTTGGAATTTTGAGTGGTATTCACTGGAGGGAGAAATAACATCTTTAGGATATCAGTTCTTGCCATCTGTGAACATGGTATCTGTCTCTGTTTAATCAGAGTCTTATTTGTTTGGTTTGGTTTTTATGCCTTTTAATAAAGATTTGTTGCTTTTGTCATAAAGGTTTTTCACATTTCTTAATAGGTTTATTCCTGACTACTTTATCAGTTTTGTTGCTTTTGTGAATGGAAAAAGTTTTCTTTTTATTCTTTTGGCTTTCCAAATTTTAATCAGTTGACTAATCACAATGCTTCATTCACAGACACATTCGGAGTAAATGTGCTTTGTCCCTGGGCACACAAATGAGAGCACAGCAGACATGTAAAGCAGAGCTAATTGGCGGGAAATGAATTAGAACTTTTGAATTAAATTTTAATTATACAAGTAATACATGAATACATTTTCCTTTAAATAAAATGAGAGTGTTACAGATAAAGATAAAGAAGTCTCTACTGATGCCCCTCTCCACCTCAGGCCCCTCCTCCCCTTCAGAGGTAGCTGCTCTTAGGCTTTGCTGTTTGGCCAAAATGTTTTCCTGTGCCCATTGAAACACTTCTGTTCTCTTTTTCTGTGTGTTTGTTTGCACAGACGTAGTGTGTACCCACTGGAGATGTTGCTCTCAGCGTAGTGCACCCTACAGGCCACCTCATGCAGCCCGCCGCAGCCTGCTGCAGTGCTCCCTGCGGCTTGCGACTGGCCACCGTAACCGATTACACCACATTTAATTTCCTTGTTTCCTGTTGATTGACTACTAAAAAGTTTCCAGTGTTGTTCCATGAAGACAAACCTGTAAGAGCATCTTTGCACAATGCCCGTTTTGCACACGTACAAGCATTTCTCTGGGACAGATACTTAGAATTGATGGGTCATAGGGTATACACATCTCCAATTATAGAAACTGCTAAAATGTTCTCCAAAGTGCCATACTAATGTAATCTGCCAGCAGTGTGAGAGTGTCCTTTTCCCCAGACCATCTCCAAGTTTTACATTTTTAATGAGTCTGATGAGTGAAAAACAGTATCTTGCTTTAGTTTGCATTTTTATGAATTACCTGCAGAACTGAAGTCTTCGTGTGTTCACTGTCCATTTATATTTCCTCTTCTGGATTGCTTGTTCATATCCTTTGCCTGTTTCTTTTTTTGAAGGTTTTTTGTCTTTTTCATATTGATTTTTAGGAGTTCTTTATGTGTTTTGAATATAGTACTTTGTTATGTATATTGCAAATGTTTTCTACTTTGTGATTCTTGTCATTTAATTGTATAGTACCTTTTGTCTTAAAGAAATTTTAAATTTTGATACAGTCAAACTTATCAATCTTTTGTGCCTTTTTTACAGCCTTATTTAAGAAAGCTTTCCCCATTATCAAGGTCATAAGCATTTCCTGTATACTCTAAAATTTATAGTTTACATATACAGATATATATTTAAGCCTTTATACTATATACAAAAAATAAACTCCATATTCATGAAATCTTAGGATCTAACTTTAATTCCCTCCTCCCCTAATGGATAGGTAATTGTCCCAACACCATTTATGGAATAATCTGTCATTTCTCCACTGATTTAAACTTGCTGCCTTTGCCTGACGCTGCATCCCGTGCAGGTCTGTGTCAGAGCTCTCTCTGGTCCACTGATCTGTTTGTCTGCTCCCGAGCTTGATTGTATGCTTTGCTAACTGGCGGGACAAATCCACCCTCTTGGTTGCTTTTGCAAAATTGCCTTGGTCATCCTTGCATATTTGCCCACCACATGAATTTTAAAGTCAGCCTATCAAGTTTCAGGAAAATTTCTGCTAGGATTTTAATTAGGATTACATTGAGTTTATGGATAAGTTTGAAGAAAATTGGCATCTTTATCAGTCAAGTCTCCTGACCAATGCACGTTGCTATATGTCTCAGCTCTGGTCATCTTTCTGTCTTTCAGGGAAGTTTTACAGTTTTCTCTGGTCAAAGTCTTGCATATTTCTTGATAAATTTACTCCTAGGTTTATGATAGTTTTGCTGTCAACTGAGAATAAGATCCCTTCTCCCCTTGTTTGTTTGGCCCTTGTTTTTCCGTATTCCATTTCAACCCGTTTGCTTATCACTGTGCTGGATTTGCAGACACACACAAAGTAAACGTTCTTCCTCCCTGGGCACAAACATGCGAGCACACAGAGCACTCCAAACACACAGAGCCAATGTAACTGGCTGAACACATTTAGATCTTTTCAAATCATACTTTAATTAAACAAGTAAAATATGAATACATTCTCCTTTTTAAAAGTAGAACAATATGAATATTGCTACAGTCCTCTTAGACCACCTTCTGAAGTCCTAGTTTCCCACCCCGTCTACAGTTTTATGTGTCTCCTTCCATAGAAATGTATACTATTGATGTAGTTATTTTGAATGGATCATCCCACTTTATAGGAATTTTATATAAGCTGTGTTTTTTCACTAAATCTTATATTTTTAAGATATATTGATACAAATATCTCTTGCCTGTTCCTTTTAATAGCTGTATTATATCTATTCCCATGAAAGTACCACATTTTCTCTTCCCTAAGATCCATGAACATTGAGTTGCTTCCTTTTCTTTCTTCCATCATAAGCAGCACTGCAGAAACAGCCTTGTACATGCCTCCTCTGTAGTGTTTCTCTAGGGTAGTGATTGAGAAGTGGAATTTTGGGTTTCCCAAACCCAAATTTTAAGGTTTCTACATTTTTAGTTTTAACAGCTATTACCAAAGTGTCCTCCATAATTTCTGTACAGTTTAAACTTACTAGCCGGAGAGTGTGAGAGGACTCCAATCCCCGCACCATAAGCAATTGTTTTAAATATTTGCCAATCCGGTGGGTGAAAAATTGAATCATTTTTTAAAATTTATATATACCTGTTTGTTGGCGCCAGCCCGGTGGTGTAGCGGTTAAGTGCATGCGCTCCGCTTCGGCGGCCCAGGGTTCACAGGTTTGGATCCCGGGTGCGCACCGACGCACCACTTGTCAAGCCATGCTGTGGCGGCATCCCATATAAAAAACAGAGGAAGATGGGCACGGATGTTAGCCCAGGGCCAATCTTCCTCAGCAAAAAGAGGATTGGCATTGGATGTTAGCTCAAGGCTACTCTTCCTCACCAAAAAACTAAAACAAAAAAATAAAATAAAATATATACCTTTTGCTAGTGAGATGTGCATATGTGTATTAGGCATTTGTATTTTCTCTTTTCTGGATTATCTGTTTATTTTTGCTCATTTAAAAAATTAGATTGTCTTTATCTTATTGATTTGTAGAATTCCCTAATATAATGTGGATATTAATCTTTTGTATATATGTGGCAAATATTTTCTTCCAGCTTCTCTCTTGCCTTTACCTCTTTGTAGGATGTTTTGTTAGACAGAAGTTATCAATTTTAACATAATAAAGAATTTATCAATCTTTTCCTTTATTCTTTTCCTTTATATATCATGTTTAGGCCTTTCTTACTTCTAAGGTTTAAATATATTCTGTATTCTTTTCTAATAATTTTGTTTTTATTTGGGTCTTTAATGCATCTGGAATATATTTTTATGATTGAAATGAGATAGGATCTAACCTTTCTCTGAATGTACAGCTGGTTATTGCAACGCAATGGATTGACTAGTTCATCCTTTCTCCACTGATCTGAGGTGAAATTCCCTCATACACTGAATCGTAGTGTCTAGGTAGGTCTGAGGCCCCTGTTCTGTTGCACTGATCTCTATATTCCTGTCTGTACCAGACTATTTTATCTGCTATAGCTTTACATCACCTTTTGATATCTGTTAAGTAAAATGCCCCATTTCATTGTGCTTCCTTTTCAGTTATCTAAGCTAACTATTACTGCACATTAACTCCTACTCCACATGAATTTTAAAACCTGCTTGTCAAGTTCTGTGAATTTAAAGATTATTTTGGGAAAATTGACATCAGTACCATCCTGAGGCTTTCAGTCTGTGACTACAGAAGAGCCCTATATTTACTCTGATCATCTTGTATGTCCTTCAGTCACATATTATAGTTTTCTCCGTAAAGAACCTACCCATTTCTTAATGGGTTTATTCCTGTAGTTTTTATTGTTGTGAATGAGTTTTCTCTGCACCTCCCTTTTTGTTTTGCTTTTGCTTGCTACATTCTTTTAGATCTACTTACTAATCTCTGTACTTCATTCATAGACACACATAACGTAAACATTCTTTCTCCCTGGGCACAAACATGTGAGCACAGCCAAACACACAGAGCTGGCATAATTGGCTGAAAATGAATGGGAATTTTTTCAAATTAATCTTTAATGACACAAGCGAAACATGAATACCTTCCCCTTTTTAAAAAATAGAACATTGTAGATGAAGTTAAAGTCCCTTTGGCCACCCACTGCCATCCCATTTCCTTCCTCCTCCCCAGAGGCAACCACTGTAATGGGCTCAATGTGTACTTTTCTAGACTTTGTAAAAACTTGTAAATACATAGATAGGTACCCACAGGAAATATATGGTGTAGTTGTCTCAAATAATGAGAATTTTATCTTTTCAGTTCTCATTGATAATTCAGCTTTTGTATTGACCTGAATTTTATTATGGTTTCAGAATAGAATGTCAATATTATCATCCATTACAATGTGAAAATAAAGATATAGAAGTTGGGAGATAACAAAGGAGGAAGAGGGTGGGAGGGCTGATGGTGGGAGGCAAGAGCTTCTGTGGACACACGGGGGAACAAGGAATGAAGCAGCAGGCAGATTTCTTAAAATTAAAAAGATAACCAATAGAGATACTTCCTCTCTGATTAAAGAGATGCACCTGGAGAGCTTTCTTGGCCCCACCCCTTCCTTTCTTCTAGGTGCTGTTGGGTGAAAACATGGTGCTTGGAGCTCTGACAAACATCTTGTGACCAGGAGGGGAAGGCTAGGAGACTCACAGCTCTCTGCTGACTCAGAGCCTGGACACCTGGAACTACCGATGTCTGGATTTTTCATTATTTGAAATAAATAAATATTCTTACTGTTTAAGCCACTCTTAGGTGTTCTGTTAGATGCTGGTGAAAGCATCCTTCCTAGTATAAGAGATCTAAGTGTTTGTTAGAGCTGGGGAGGTCACCTCAAGGAGCAGATCACACACTCTGGGGTGAGAGTTTGGGGGTGGGGAGAAGGCAGAGAAGGCTGCTCTTCATCAAAGCCCTTCTATCCTCTTGGATTTTTTTTTTTAACTATATATATATGTGTTACATGGAAAGAAATGGAAAATTATTTTTTTAAAAAACAATTCTGATAAGAAGTGTGTCCAGATGTGAACAGTGGTTGCCTCTGGGTACTTTGGGTACTTGACAATTTTCTAAGATGTCCACAAATTATTTTTATAATTAAAAAAAAGTCAAAGACCCAGGTTCTTAGGAGATGACACATGAGAGAGGTAAATTTTGATGCAGGAAAAGGCAGGGCCCAGAGCTTAGAAGAGCCTGCCTGGGCGAAATCCTAGATAGACTTGGATTCAAAGGACTTGAGAGCTAGGGGGGAGGAGCAGACAGAGTGGGCATGGATCTCATCTCACCTGGACCCCAAGAGGCCAGCAATCTCCATGGGGTATTCAGGGCGCAGCCGTGAGTCCAGCATGTGTGGGGACTCACACAGGGGTGGGGGCGTGGGTGCAGCAGGAGGGAGAGGAGTGACGAATCAGGCTGGCCAGCATGTGCAGGGCCTGTGTGTCACGCCAAAGAGTTTGAGCTTGCGTCCTAAGGGTGATGAGGAACCGGTGAATGTGCTTAAGCAGGGAGACGGGTGTGATCACATTTTCATTTACTCACATTTCTCTTCTTTGCCAGTGAAAGAAGCTCAACTCAAACCAGCTCAGGCAGAAAGAGAACTTGATTGGCTTCCATAACCAAACCACAGGCCAGACTAGTTGGGCCTCCAGGTTTCCTAGAGCCAGGGACCTGACCATCAGACCCTCTCTCGTCTCCGTGCCTCCACATCTTGCTGCATGCCAGCCTCACTCTCTCAGGCCTGTGTCTGCCATGTACTGGCACTCGCAGCCAGCAATGTCTCACATCCCTTGGGTTCATGACCAAAAAGAGACCAAGGTGGGAGTGCAGGGTTTGGTTAAGAGGCCTCACCCCAGTCAGTGCTGTTTCCTACTCACTGTTTTGTCTAATTTCTCTGTCCTCAGTGTCCTCATCTGTAAAGTGGAGATAATAACAGCACCAGCCTCAGAGTGTTTTGAGGGTCAAAGGAGACAATGCCTGCAAAGCGCTTAGCCCAGGGCAGGGCCTGACGGATAGTCAGTGTGCTGTAAATGTTAGTTCCTAAGTCAAAAATCTGGGGAAGGGCTCTGATTGGCTTAGCCTAAGTCAAGGGCTCAATCACCCCTAGCCAATCAGTGATGGCCAATAAGGTGGGTTATGTAATAAGGCGAATTCATTCAAAACAGATAGCTTAGCTTGCAGAATAATTTTGCAGGAGAGTGGGCACTGGTCTAGGTAAAGAAAACAATGGATGTGTCCCATCATCCCGCATGAGCCTGGAGGTAGGGAGAATCCCTAAGAGACCACCACAGTCATCCAGGTGAGAAGTGATGCAAGGCTGAGCTAAGCCACAGTGCAGATGGAGAGGAGGTGGATTCAAGAGAAGTTTTGGAGGTAGAAATAGGGGCCATGGTGCGGACCAAGCATGAGAGGTGAGAGAGAATGAAAGGTTGAAGATGGCCTCAGGTTGCTGGCCCAGAAACTGCCACAAACAGCTTGCCAAATATAGCTGCTGTATATCTCCATGACTCAAGTTCGCTCTTACCCCACCCCCTTTTTCTGTTCAGTAATACAGACTTAATCTTGTTGAAGGTAAATGCAGTCACATCTAGCCTTTTCCTAAGTCTCTCTTAAGTAGATTCTTGGTCCAGGTCCAGCTTCCCTACTTCCCACTGCTCTTTCCTTTCTCCCTGAGGGTGGTCTGTGTTCTGGGATCTCCTATTTTGCCCTGGCACCAGGGCATGTATCTGATCCAGCATCTGTCCACTCCCATCCACTGAGCTGAGACATCCCCATTGAATCCTTGTCCTGACCACAAAGCATTTCCAAGCCCACCAGCTAAACTCAACCCCTTCCCTATACCCTCACCAACAGCACCTTGCTACGGGGCCACACAGGACTCGAGGACACCCCCAGGCTCATCTGTCAGACACCGCCTCCCATTAGGGCTCTCAGCCTCTCCAGCCTGAGCTGGGAGGTTTTGGTCTCCTGGGCAACACTGAGGAGCCAGGCAACCAGCGCCTTCTACTCTGGGATACCCCACATTTCTTTTGGGAGATCTAGTATCTACCGTTATAGTTATAGTTATCTCCATATGATTCCCCTCCTCCCACTAGCTGGTCAAATTTATTTCCTTTCAGGCAGAAAGACAGCTTCTTCATTCTTCCCCATTTACTATTCATGGCATCAATTTCAAGTTTGGAGTCCCTCAGTTTCTTTTCTCTGAACGAAAGGCCAGCAATCGTGACCAAGCACCCTGTGTCTGCTGTGGATTTCAAGAGACAATTTGAAACTGTCTTTCTCATTGCATTTGTGCTGTAACAGCCCCAGTCCTCCCCCAAAGCTCTGAATAAATCAGAAGAGTGGTCATGGTAGCTGTCCCCAAGGATGGCCACCATCAATTCCTGCCCTCCCTGTATACACACGCTACCCCGCACACCAAGAGATGGCGTCTCCTTCCCCTCCCCATGAATCTAGGCCAGGCTTAGTCACTGTCTTGGCCAATAGAATGTTGCAGAAGGGACATCCTGGGACTTGCGAGACTAGGTCATCAGAAGCCTTGTCGATTCTGCACAGCCCTCTTGAGACACTTGGTTTGGGGACAGCCCCTCTTGCCACCCAGCTGTCATGCAGTGAGAAGTCCAGCCTGTGCGGTGAATCCACATGGGCGCTCCAGTCGACTCCTCAGCTGAGCTCCTGGCTGCCTGCCCGCCGCGTGAGTGAGCCTCCGCTGACTCAAGCCCAGCTGCCATCTGATTGCACCTGTGTGAGAGACTGCACGCAAAAACACCCAGCTGAGCCCTGTCAAGCCCCAGAACCATGAGAAATAATAAATTGTTTTTTCAAGCCACTAAAGTTTTGGGTCATTTGTTACACAAAACAGTGACGGGCAAGGAAGTGTGGGGAGAAGGCACATTGAATAATATATAAAATATTATCCTACTGCACAATATTTAAGTGGACCATTACAATACAGTATAGTAAGTGCAGTAATGGAACATAGATATGCCCAGAGCCTTCCAGAGGTGACCACTGGTCTGACTTCTTAAAGATGAGTAGGAATGAGCAAGGTAGAAGGGACTGGAGGGACATTCCAAGCAAAGGAAACAGTACAAGGAAAGCCCTGGAAGTGAGAAGTAGCAAGAGTGAGCTTGAGGGCCTTTGGTGTTCCTGGAATATGAGAGAAGGAGGGAATGGGCAGAGTGAGACTGAAGAAGTGGACAGAGGTCAGGCCTTGCAGGGCCTTGGATGACCCCTCACACACACGTCAAGGAGTTTGGACACCATCCTGCAGCCAGTGGGCACTAGTGGAAGTTTTTACACCGCTAACATTTCAGATTAATGGTTTGGGAAAATCACTGTGGTGGCCAGTGCGAAGGCTAGATTTGGAAAGTGATGGTCTCTAGGTAGAGAAACCAATTAGGTGACTATGGTCATGGTCCCAGTAAGATAGGATGAGGCCTGACCCGGAGCAATGACAGTGGAGATGGGCAGAACCCAGAAATTTAAAAAAAATAAAGTCAGAAACGCATGATGATAGTTGGCTGTGGGTTGAGAGCGAGGGTTGAACCATGGGTAAGGTCCGTTTGTCTTGGGTGGGGCCCTCAGTGAATGGTGGGCAGGTGCTTGAGATGGGGAACACAGCATGGGGGCCAGTTTGCGGGGGCAACAATGGGCTCAGTCTCAGGTAGAGCTGAGGGGTGGGGGACACAGCCAGGTGGAGCCCAGCAGGTAGCTGGATCCCAGAGTCTGAGGCTCAAGAAGAGATTCAACTAGAAGGCTAACCCAGGGACAGAGGGTAGTGGGAACCCCAGGAATGAATGAGATCTGCAGGGAGATAGTGTAAGGAGGGAATGGGAGAGGGCCCAGGGCAGATTCGTGAGTTACAGTGACATTTGAGGGGCTGACTGAGGTGTGGGTGGGTGACAAAGGAGAGAGAAGGAAGGACCTGAGAGATGCGACAAACAACTAGGAGAGTGGGTTGCCATGGCAACCAAGGTAGTGAAGAGTTTCAAGGAGAAAGTAATCAACACTGCCATATGGCCCGAATCTCAGAAAAATAAACAAAGTCCTTTGAATTTAGCAATCAAGGGGCTATTATGAACCTTGGCGGGAACTGTTGTGGGGGTGAGGGGGTAAAAGCTAGGTTACAGGGGGCAATGGAGTGAATGGGTGGAGGAGATGCAGACCGCTCCTTAGAGAAGGTTGGATGACTAGGGGAGGGGTTGGGTGGCAACGAGAAAAATGTGGGTGATCAAGGAAGGATTTTTGAAAATGCAAGACCCTAGAATTTTCTCGTCTTGAAAGAGGGCATCAGCGGAGAGGAACAGGATACAAAGAGGAACGATTTGTGAGCTGGGATCCATCCTCTGAGCCTGGCTGAAAGGAAACAAGTGGGTATGACTGGAGACGTCTGGAGGGAGGAGGAAGAGACATGGAAAAGACTCCCTTGTGATGCCCTTTCCCATCCTGAAAAACTTGGAGGTAAGGTTGTCTTCACTGTCAATTTCTGCAGGATGGTTAAGACTGATAAGGGAAAAGGTGCGTTGAATTGGGTAGCTAGAAGGTCATTTGGTGATTGTTCTGCATATTCTTCAATGGCCCCTCCAGAGCCATTCTCCATCTTTCTCCATCCTGTTCTGTGCCCTGGATGGCCGACCTTTGCACCACTCAGGCTCCCTGCCCTCAGGCTTCTAGTTGAGTTTGACCAATGGAGGAACCATCGGGAGAGTGGGGGCGGGAGGAGAGTGAGGTTCCCTGGCTGCCTTCCCATGGGCTGTTGGTTGGCAGTGACTGCATTCCTTTACTTCTGGCCACAAGCGGGGTCCCTTTCTTAAAGCTACAGCTCTCCAGGTTCTGAAAACCCACTCCCTCCTCTCATCAGGCTTAAAAGTGGCAATGGCTTCCAATTGTTGCTCCTCCCTAGGTCCTTTATCATCTCTGGAATCCTTAGCTCTGCCACACTCTGAATAACCCTTTCATTAAATCGTTTCAGTTAAATCCTTTTGAATGCATGACCCTCTTTCCTACCAGGCCCCTGACTGAATAGGTGAACTTGGTTTGTCTAACACTAGGATGAACGCATGGGAGGGCACACGGTGCTGAGCAAAGACAGACTTGGTTTCTGCCTGCATAGAGCTACTAGTCCAGCTAGGGAGCCAGATATTAGTCAAGTAAATAAAGAAATCCATAATTTTAAACTCTAACAGGTGCCATGGAGAAATCTTCTGACATCAGAGAAGTAACGTTTGATCACAGGAGTGAAAGTTAACTAGGAATGAAAAGAGCATTGCAAGTAAGGAAACAGCATGTGCAAAACTCTGTAGTGGGAGGGTAGTGCATTGCAGAAACTGGGAGGCCATCATGGTTGTGGCACTTATCAGAAAGAATGATTTTGACACAAGTGACAGTAAACCCAACTCAAAAACATTTAAACAATAAATGATTTGTTATCACACATAATGAGAAGTTCCAAGGGAGACAGCTCTAATGTCTCAGGACTCAGTTTCTGTCCATCTTTCAATTCTCCCATCCTCAGCATATGGGCTCCTGTCCCCATGGTCACAAGATGGCCGCAGCCAATCCAGGCATTGTATCCACCATACCAATATCCAGAGATGGATAAAAGAAAGTGATTCTTCCTTATACTTCTTTGTAGGGACTAAGAAACATTTCCCAGAAGACCCCACCACCTCCACCTCTCTCTGGTCAGATTTGCACCAAATGCTCACCCCGAAACCAATCACTGGCAAGAGAAGTGGGCCTGCCCTCCATGACTCACATAGATCAATGTATGTCACGTGGAGAGTGGTTTCTGTTAGCCAGACCCAAGGAGAAATGACTGTTGGGTGGGAACCATGTCAGAGAGGGAGGGCCTGTGGTATATGATGAGGTTGGAGAAATCAAAGTCAAAGGTCTTTCTCTAAGAGCCACTGAAGAATTTTAAGTAGGAGATGGACATAAAAAAGATGTGTATTCTGAAAAGACCACTCTGGCTGCTCCGTCGGGGGTGGATTATTGGGGGGAAGGTGGATTGAGGGAGACCAGTCAGCAGGTAACTGAGGTAGGCCAAGCAGGCGATGATGGCTTGGCCTAAGCTGTTAGTGGTAATGATGGAGATAAGATCAACCAGCCTCACGACAGGATGTCGTGGGTGAAGTAGGAGGAGATTCTAGGATGACTGCCAAGTGTCTCCTGCCATAGCAGTGTTATCATTCCCCCAAATAGGAACACTTTCATCCTGTAGATGAGGACAAATTTTGGGAAGAAAGGTTAGGAATTTGAATAAAAAGCGTTAGTCAAGTGATAGAAGAAAAACAGACGAGGAGTTTTGTTTGGGTCATGTGGTTGAGATGTCTGAGATGTTGGTGGATGGCCAGTGGGTTCTGGAGCTCGGAGTGGAGCTCTGGACTGCACACGGAAGAGTGGTCATTAAAGAGAAAGATGGATGCGTTGGTCTAGATCTCAAAGGAGGCTTCGACTGGACCATCAGTTTGGGGAATCAGCCCGCAGGAGGTAGGCAAGGCTTATGGATGCGTGAGATTGAGGGGAAAGGCGCACAATGAAAGAGAAGGCCAGAGACCAAGCGCTGGACAACACTGACATTGGGCGGGGCTGGTGCTGCACATGGGAAGGGGAGTGTGAGAAAGAGGGGAGGATAAGGAGAGAAAGGATCTCAGAAGCCCATGAAGGAGAGTTTCCAGAAGGAGAGTGGCCACTGGTGTGCCAGACGCACAGAGATCGGGGGAGGTAAGGGCATCCCCTGGACCGGCCTTTGAGGACCTTAGCCACAACTTTGGGGAGGGGGCAGAAGCGGGGGGATGATCTGGAGTCTGGCTAAGAAAGCAGGAGGGAAAAGGGAAAGCTAGGGGGACAGCAGCGTCCAGGAAGGCACTGATTCTTACACGCTGATGTTTGGAGGGAGGAGGGCTGTGCCAGCCCGAGTTTGAGGAGCAGGGACAGGTAGTGGAAGGGGCCCGAGAGCGGTAGGATTAAGTGTAGAGGTGGAGGGATTAGTTGTGTTGGTGGAAAGGGACAAAATTAAATCATGTACATTCTTCTGGGTAACCTGATCTCCATGTTCTTCTGGAGGCTTTCTCTCTGCCCTCTGGGTACTGACTACAGCTCTAATTAGCAGTGGTTTCCTCCTGCCTCGTGTCTGGGGCCGTGTCTTACTCGTTTTTTGTCACTTTTAGCACCTAGCAACAGGCATCTAGCTAGGTAGAGGCAGAATAATTATTCTCTGCTTGAAATCAAATGTCTGAAATGGAGTTTCACAAAATTGTCTTTTTACCAAGAAGAGGTTGTGGGAACTCTGAGGGAGTGAGACTTCAGGCGAGAGGAACTGTTAGGGTAGGTGGGGATGGAAGGGCTGGCATTGGAAATGTCACCAGGTTAGTTCCATGGCTGGGCACCAGGAGATGTGCTCAGAGGATGTGCCCAGGAGGAAGGCTAGGAGTTCTCATCCCAACATGAGCCCACCTCTCCACAGGTGACAGCGCCACCCGCTGGCCTGGCATGGCCCCCACGTGTTCACCGCTGCTGTCCTTTGCAACAACCCCCATTGCCCAGTCCAGCGGATACTTTTCTCTCCTTAACTCCCTCACCCTCGTGGCAGCATCTGATGCAGCTGACCACCCCCTGCCGAAAGTGCCTCTCCTTGGCCTCTGTGACACCACATGACACCATCATAACACCACGATCTCCCAGTGAACATCCACCACCCTCCTCTGCCTCCTCCACCCACCATCTAAGTGTTGGGTTCCCTCAAGACTCATGTCTGGGCCCTTTCCATCTTCCTCTATATTCTCACTCTGGTGATCACTAATGACTCCAATTTTATGCCCCCAGCCCTGCCCTCTCAAGACTGGCATGCTCAGCTACACAGCTGTCAAGCTACTTGGGTGTCTTTCACGGATGCCTCAAACTTGCCACAGCCAATCAGAACGCTAACTTCTTCTCCCCAAAACTTTCTCTTCCCCCTTGTCTTCCCCTTTCTTGCAAAAGGCCCAACCTTCAGCCTAATTTCCCAAACCCAGCCCTTGAGAGTCATCCTTGACTCTTCCCTGCCCTCACCCCTCCCATCCAATCCCGGCAAATCCTGGCAGTTCTGTCTCCAGAATCATTCCCAATCTGGCCCTTCCCTCCCCAGCTGCCATCGCCTGGTTCCAGCTACCTCCCATCGCCCATCTCTTCACGGCCATGGCCTCACAACTTTCTTCCTCCTCACCCATTCACTTATCACACAGAAGTAAAAGCAGACTTCTTAAAACATAAATCGGATCACATCATTTTCCTCCATATCGCCAGCCTTCAGTGACGTCCCATTACCCTCAGAACAAAATCTGGTGTCTTTCTCAAGGCCCTCAAAGCTCACCTGATCTGCCCGTCCATCTGTCACTCCCCCTTGGATGCTCCAAGTCACTGTCCTCCTGCCACAGGAGAATCCCTTCAGTCCCTCAAATGCTCCCAGCTTGTTCTTCTCCTAGAGCCTTTGCTCCTGTTGTCCCTCATCCCAGGAAAGCTCTCCCCTACCCCCTCCTCCCAGCCTTTTGGGCTCGGCTTAACCGTCCCCTGAGAAAGGCCCTCCCCAGCCACCTGTCTAGAGCAGGGCCGCCACCCCGTTCCTTCCTCAACATTCTGTTTGTTTCCCTCATGGCCCTTGTAATAATTTCTTTGGCAGTTGCCTTTTCCCTCAGTTCTGAAGGGCTCTCCCCTAAAAGAGCCCTCCCTCTCACTTACTCTCCTGGAAGCTCCCTGAAGGCCCTATCTCCAGAGACTATTTCTTCTCTGCCCACTCTGGTATTCCTGCACCTGCACACACGTGTTGAGTGCAGGTGCGGGTGTTGAGAATACAGCTGTGTTGACGTTCTCCACCTCATCTGGTCATCACAAACCCATTTTATAGAAAAGGCAACTGAGGTGTCCAGAGACACGGTGCCTGGCTGGCAGGGGCAGTGCTCAGACCCGTGTCTCCTGACCCTGCTTCCAGATTTCAGGGCCGGACCCCCTACTGGCCTGCCACTGTGGAGCACAATGATACAACTTGACTTCCAGGGAGAAGAAATAGCTAGAAAAACGTGTCTATGTGTGAAAAATCGGGGCTGTGGGAAATCCAAGGTGATATACCCAGAAGGAAGTTGGATGTAGGAGTTGGACATGTGGGCAACTGATCTGATAGGAAATGGAGATTTCAAGGTCCTAACCCTAACAGATATTGCAGTATAATATAAAATATATATTTTTTTTATATATAATATATAATATAATAATTTTCTTTGCCACAAAAGAAAAACATCTCAATGGAATAGAATAGAAAGCCCAGAGGTAGATCCCCGGAATATTTACCACTGTGGCTTGTGAGAGCAGAGATATCACAAATTAATGGAGAATAGAAGGGTTTGTCACTAAGTGGGGCTGGAAAATGATTTTTATCTATTTGGAAAACAGAAAGCAATTTTTACCTCCCTTTATACTAACCACCAAAATCAATGTCAGGTGATTTAAAGGGTTAAATGCAAAAAAATTTTTAAACCATACTACTAACTAGAGAAAAAATGGAAATGATTCATTATCTGAACTGTGATTGAAGGAGGCCATTGTAGCTTTCACAGCAATAGAGAGAATTATAATGGAAAATACAAATATAATTGACTATAGGAAATGTAAAGCTTCTCTGTGTTGAAAATTCTCATAAATAAAACATTCACAGAGGCAGTAAGAATTTTCATAATGAAATGTTGGGGCAATAAAAGGCGGTAAGAGTCCATTTATGAAAGATGAAGTTCAAAAGGCAAATTCAGTTGAAAATGTTGAACTTAGTCATGATAAAATAAATGTAAATTAGAATGGAGAGAGACCACTTTGGGCCCATAGAAAGAGCACTACAAAACAAGAGGCTCGCTGTGCTGGCTCGGGCCTGGTGACACGGGACCTCTCATGCACAGCTGGCAGGACTGTCAAGTGGCAAAACCTTTCTAGAAGGCAATTTGCTTAAGATGTGTGAAGAGCCTCCGAAAGATTCATACTCTTTGACTCAGAAATTCCATTTACAGGAAGCTCGTCCCAAGAAATGATCTAAAACAATGCCAAAAGCTTGGTGCAGAAAGATGTGCACTGTGGCTTTATTTATAATAGCAAAAAGGGGGAAAAAAGAAAAAAAAAGAAAGCTATCAAAATCTCCAACCCCAGGAGAATGGTTAACCAAATTATGTTTAATTCATTAAATGGATTATTAGGCAGCCATTAAACGTAATAATTACAAAGAATGTTGACTAACACGGGGAAATGCTTAGCATATAATCAGTGTAAAAGGATGGTTCAAAATTATATATACAATGAAAGTATTTATTGTGAACAAATGAATAAAAAAGCTAAAAGGAAATGCGCTTTTCAGATGCATTTTCATATAACACGACCATGGGTGCCGGGACTCTTGTCAAGATTTTTCTGTTCTCCTTCATGCTTTGATTACTCTCCAAATTTTCTGCAATGTTCAGGTATCACTGTTTTTATGATAATATATTTCAAAAATACAGACGAGAACAAGAATAGTAGAATGAACACAACATACAATATACTCACCATCCAAGATCATGTATTACTTTTATAATAGGAAAACCAAGAAAAACGAGCAAAAGAAAGAAAGCCAGATCTTAAGGAAATGGTACCTGCATCAGGCAAGTTTTGAAGGGGGGAGGAAGGATGGGCAGGAAAGGAAAGAAAATGTTCAGAGAGAGAGAAGCTGCCTGGATGGGTCCCTTTCAAAGAACTTCAAAGAGCTGTGGAACGGGGAGCTTCGTGCTCTTAGCCACCGTCCTCTGAAACGCCCTTCCTAGAATATGGCAAGTTCCCCCAGGGCACGGTCTGATCCTGAACTCTTCAGTTCTGTCAGTCAATGCCTCTATTCCTAGCCACACGGTTTAATCACTGCTGCTTTCTCATGTGCTACCTAGTAGGGCCAATCCAGTCCTTTTCCTCCTACTGTGTCCCTACCACTTGTTTTTCTTTCTCAAAATTATCTTGGCTATTCTTGCCCATCTCCTTTTCCATATGACCTTTAGAATCAGCTTATTAAGTTCCATTAAAAAAATCCAGGTGGGATTTTGATTAGGAAGACATTGAATTTGTACATTAATTTGGAGAGAATTGACATCTTCACAATATCGAGTCTTCAGGACCCAAACATTTCAAGCGTGGTTGAGTCAGAGGCTCTGATTAATGAGACTGGGAAGGAAAAGTCGTCATAGAGATGGGTTAAAAACAAGGAGAGGGTGTTGTCATGGAAACCAAGAGAGCCCAGCGAGCATTTCAAGAAGGAGAGAGTGATCAACAATATCAAACCCTGCAGAGAATTCCAATAAGACAGGGATGGAAAAACACCCACTGAAGTTGGTAATTAGGAGGTTATCGGAGCCCTCAGCAAGAGCGGTTTCAGGGGTGAGATGGAGCAGAACCCCTACCGCAGTGCCTGAGGATGATAGATAGTCAGCAAAGATGCCCCTTTTACAGAAGTTTAGATAATTAAGTTTAGATAATTAGAAAAGTTTCAAGAAGGATTGTCTGGAAGCTAGAGAGTGAAGTGTGGAGTCAAGACAAAGTTTTCAACTCAATTCAACAGATGTTTTTTTGAGCACTCCCTATGTGCTGGCCTGCCCTTAGGGAGACTGTGTGAACATGACAGACACATCCTTGCCCACACGGAGCTGACAGTCTAAACGGGGAAACAGACATGAATCAAGCACTCGCCTGACTAAACGGATAATTACGAACAATGATAATCACGAAGGAGAGGGGTATGGTGCTGAGAGGAGCGAGGGGGCCCGGCAGAGATGAGAGGATCTGCTAACATTGCCCAGAAGAGATCTGAAAGATGAGTGGGTACCAACTAGGCTAAGAGGAATCAGAAAGAGCATTCCAGGCGGAAGGAACGGTGTGGGCCAGGGCCCTGCAGTGGGAGGCACAGGGCATGTTCTGGGAAGGGAAAGGCCAGTGGAGCTGGGGCCCAGTGGATAAGGGGCCAGCAGAGTGAGAAACCAGGCTGGAGAGTTCAGCAGGCTGGGAAGGATTTGGGCTTTCTCCCAAGAGTGAAGGGGGAGGCAGGGGCGTCTTTGGAGGAATTTAAGCGTGGTGATGACATGTTCCCATTTGCATGTTGGAAGTGTCACTCTGGCTTCTAGTGAGGAAAAGATTGCAGGGGTACAGGAGGGGCTGCAGGGAGACCTGGGAGAGGCAACTTCTCATCTGTTGTCCAGACCAGGGCTGGTGGTGGCTTGGACTAGCACGGTGGCAGTGGAGTTGAAGAGAACTGGAAGGGTTCAAGAGCCAGTGGGAGGATGTCTCCAAGGCTTGAGGGCAGACTGTGGATGGGGGGTGAGCACTCATGGGCTGAGGAGGAAGACCCCAGGCATCTGGCTGATGGCGTCTTCCTGTGAGACGCGGGACTCTGGTGAAGGAGTAGATTTTGGACAAGAACTGTCTGTTGAGTGTGTTGGGTATGAGGTGCCTTTAGACCTCTGGGTTCTGGAGGACAGAGGAGAGCTCAGGCTGGAGTTGGGGACTGGGAGGGACTTGAGACACAGGTGGGAGTGCAGGGGGTATTGAAGAAGCTCAGGGGACGGCGATATTAAGGGATAGAGTAGGGAGGGAATGAGCAGAGGACTGAGGCTGAGCCTAGGGGAGCACCAGCATTTAGGGGGCTGCAGATGGGAAAAAAGGCTGAGAAGGAGGGACCCGAGGAGGAAAGCGGTGGGGCGGGTCCCAGGAGCCCAGGTAAGAGAGTTTCCGGAAGGACAGAATGGCTGCTGGTGGGCCGTGGGCAGGGCTCAGGCGAGGGGAAGTCTGACTGGCAAGGCTGGACTTGGCCTCTGGGGGCCTTTGTCAGTTTTTTGCAGGTGGGGGTGCACAGGTCCGGAGTGAGGGGGATCCAGGGTCTACCTTGAAGGGAGGAGGGTAGATAAAGGGTGCAGAACTTTTCATTTGGTTTTGGTTTTAATAAAAGAGCAATGTTCACATATTAATTTTCCCAGAGGAAGGCAGGCACCTGTGGGATACGAGCCATTGCAGAACAGGGGCAATTAGCTAAATGGGCCTCCAAGGAAATGAGGCCACGTGTTTGAGATGGATCCATCCTGGGCACTAACGGGCATCCAGCTCCCGGGAGAGAATTCAGTACTTGGTCTTTTACCCGGTAACCTGCGTCCCACTTTCTTTCAGGGAATTTGTATATGACCTTTGTGACTTAACCACATCTCACTTTAGCAGGAATTTCACCCTGCCCATGGCCGGGTCTCCGTCTCATGCGTTTTGGAACCAACCCCAGCCTGGAGCAGCTGACCAGGGACAGCTGAATAAAATATTTTCTGACTTGAAATAAAATGTCTGAAATGGTAGGTCAAAATTTTTTAGCCAAGAGGAGTTTGTGATCAATGGAACAATCAGACGGACACATTTTCTTCGTGCTAAGTTTTGCACAGGGGAGTGAATGAGGGGTCAGGAGAGTTTTAGGGGGTGAATTCGATGGTTGGCATCCTGGCCATGCAGGGCTATGGGATATGGGGAAAGGAGGTCTGCTCATGAGATAGAACTGGGACAACCCACCCCAGCGTGGGCACAGCTCTTTACAGCTTACTCAGTGGGGTCGTAGCCATTGTCTCGTGTGCTCACTACAAGCCCCACGAGGCAGATAGCGATGGGTAGCCCGTTTTACAGACGAGCAGAGAAGGAAGCTGAGACCAGAGTGGGGCACTGGCTGTGGAAGACCTCGGAGTGTGTTAGTGGCCTGCTCTCCCTGCCTCTGACTCCAGCATCCTAGCCCCTCCTCATCCCAGGATGAGTTCCCACAGGAGCTCCTGTTCAAAGGTTGGCTGCTGGGAGAAATCAAGTCCAGAACAGGAGTAAAAGTTACGAATGATGAAAGCAGAGTTTGCGGGTCGTCAAGAGAAGACATTCGCCAGAAGACTTCCTGGAGCTCAAGGTTTGATCAGCCCTCCTGGAGATCAAAACGTAACTCAAAACAACATCGATGAGGCCACAGTCAGGGGTATGGGTCCTGGCTCCAGGTCTCCAGGACTGTCGCGTGGTTGCAGCCCGGATAAATATGCTGCTCAACTATACCGGGCAGGATCTTGCCTCTTCTGGGCCTGTCCTCACGTGCTGGCAGCCACAGCCATTGTCTCCACAGGTTCTGCATTCTCCTCCGTTTCCCTAGCTCCCCTGGGCCTGCCAGCCACTCAGCCCACCAATCTCCCTGTGGGCACCTCAAACACTCTTGGCTGCTCCCTGGCCCCTACAAGGCCGCCGCGGGCGCTTCTGCCTGTGCTCTCTTTAACGTAAGCACGAGGTTGGACTTAAGACTCCTGTTCCGGGATCCCCCAAACTTGTCTGAAATCCATCATAGTTCTCCTTGGGACTCAGCTTAGGGGCTAGGGCATGAGCCCGTCTTGGGGGACCCAGGCAGTGCCCTTGGATTGCTCTCCTTCTGCCCACGGGTTGAACTCAGTCCCTTCATGGAGCCCAAGCTCTGAAATCATCATGAACTGTCTTTTCAATCTATTGTCTGTGCATAAACTCATTGCCTCTTCTGTTAGCTTTGGCTCCAAATCCTCCAAGCTTTGTGGAATCCAGAATCTTTCCTTTCTCAAGCCCCAGCTCTTGCCCTGAAAAGCTATAGCTGTCGTCGTACAGGCTCCCCTGTAGATAACACTCTGCACAACTGTCGTCTGTGCTATCAACTTACAAAAGCCCACACAGGAGCTACAAGCCAGGCCAGGGACCCTATGTAATGTCACCCCCCGCCCCGCCTCCGAGAGCAGTGCACCCAGGAAGCTTGGACAGCAGGGCAGGGGGTGAGGCAGAGGGATTTCCACCCACACACAGTGTACGAGAAGAATATCCCAGTACCCCACACGGTTGAAAAGGGGCACCCAGAAGCAGTGAGGGAGGAAGGGATTAGTGAATAAAAGGTGCTGGGATGATCACTAAGCCGTTTGGAAACGCAAATCCACTTCATTCTTCACTTCCCGTCATACATCAACATCGACTTCAGATGGATTAAAGACTTAAATTAAAAATCACACTTGAACAAAGTAGGAGTGAATATTCTTCCAGAACTCTGGATAAGTGTTACCTTCTGAGCTTAAAAGCAAGGGAAGCATTCACAAAGGACAGAAAAAGAAAACAGGTTTTAAATTTTACACGTAACTGTATGAAAATTGAAAACAACTTGGAAGATGTCACATGGAGGGTTTATATCCTTGGTGTTTAAGAATCCATATAAGTTGAGTTTTAAAAATTCAAATCACTGCTGGATAAATGTGAAGGGATAGGAACACTCAATTAACAGAAGATTAATTTTTTATGGCTCATAGGTTGAACCTATTTTCCAATATCTAATTATTTTTTAAAAAGTAAATTAAAACAACAGTGAGATAACACTTTTTGCCCAGCACAGAGTGAAGAAAAAAATTTTAATGAGAATACCCCATGCTGGCTGGGGTGTGATGAAACAGACAATACTGCTGATGGGAATGTAAATTACTACAGCCTTTGACCCAGTAATTACACTTATGGCAACCCATCAGAAGGAAATAATCTCAAATTGACAAAGATTTATGTACAAATAGATGTAGTGTAGCCTTGTTTACAACAACAACAAAAAATTGAAACAACCAAAGTAACCAACTATAGGGAAAATGTTAAGCAAATTATTTTATATCTGCTCAAATGGACTATTATTCATCAACTAATCGTGATTTTTACAAAAAGCTCTAGAAAATTCTTATGATATAAAAGTGGAACAGCAAATGAGAAATCAGGGTGCAAATTGCATGCCAGATATTATCTCAGCTGTGGAAACAAACACACACAAAAAAACATTTAAAAAAAGACTGAAAGGAAATGTGCTGGGACCCTGAACCTAAGGGCATGGGACTCTGGACAAGTAAGCTTTGATGGAGGACAGGGAAATAAAGGGTTGGGCCCTAGAAGATGCCCGAGTGGGGTCCTGGTTGTCCTCTCAAATTCAAAGAACTTTATATCTGGAGGAGAGGGAGCGTGGAGTCCTGCTTCAGCCCGGTTGTCTGGTTCAGCTGCCCTAAACCTCAAGGAAAGGATTGCCTTGGGCCTTGAGCCTAAGAAATTGCCATTTATTTGGTATATCCAGAACAAAGAATGGAGACGGGGGTGGGAAATCAGGCCAGCAGTTCACACAGGCCCTCTGAGCCATGCTAGGGAGTTTAGGATTTTATCCCAAGGGCAAGGAGGAGCCGTTGAAGGTTTTTAAGCTTTTTCTTCCAGATAGATTACAGTGTTAGCAGGGACTCTCTTCTCTGCAATACCAAAAACCCAACTCAAACCAACTCAGGCATAAAAATAAAAGTAAAAAATTAAAAGGGTAAAAATCTAAAACTTTTGGAATAAAACATATAAGAAAACTTTTGTGACCTTGGGTTAGGCAAAGATTTCTTAGATATGACACCAAAAGTATAATCCATAAAAGAATAAATTGGTAAATTGGACTTCATCAACATTAAAAACTTATGTTCTTTAAAAGACACTGATGAGAGAATGAAAAGACCAACCACAGAATGGGAGAAAATATTTGCAAGTTATATATCTGACAGAGGACTTGTATCTAGACTATGTAAAGAAGTCTCAAAACTCAATTAAAAAAAACAAAAAACACAATAAAAAATGAGCAAAAGATTTGAACAGACACTTCACCAAAGATATACAGATGGCAAATAAACACATGAAAAGAGATGCTCACATCATTAGTCCTTAGGGCAATGCAGATTAAAACCACAATGGGATACCACTTCATTCCTGCTAGAATATCTAAAATTAAAAAGACTGATCATACCAAGTGTTGGTGAGGATGTGGAGCAACTAGAACTCTCATACACCCTGGGTGGGAATGTAAAATGGTACAAACACTTAAGAAAATAATTTGGCAGTTTCTTAAAAAGTTAAACATACATCTATCATATATCCAGCCATTCTTCTCCTAGGTATTTACCCCAAAGAAATGAAAGCATGTGTGCATACAAAGACTGGTACATGAATGTTCATGGCAGTTTTCTTTGTAATAGCCACAAACCAGAAACGTCTTGAATATCCATCAATGAGCAAATGCATAAACAAACTGTGGTAAATCCATACAATGGCATACTACTTAGCATTAAAAAGGAATAAACTATCAATACACAACAACATGGATGCATCTCATAATAATTATGCTGAGTGAAAGAAGCCACACAAAACAAGAATGTATACTATATGGCTCCATTTGTATAAGATTCTAGGAATTGCAAATTAATGTATATGACAGATAGCAGATCAGTGGTTGCCTGGAGAATGAAGGGAGAGGGCCAGGTGGGAAGGGAAGGGAAGAAGAGATCACAGAAGGACACAAGAAGTCTTTTGGGGTGATGGGTATGTTCATTATCTTGACTGGTGATAGTTTCATAGGTGGATACATATGTCAAAACTTACCAAAACGTACACTTTCAATATGTGCCATTTATTTGTATGTCAGTTATAGCTCAATAAAGCTGTTAAATAGATAAATAACAAAATAGGAATTGTACTGGTTCAACTGGGTATCAGGGATTTTTCCCTCATCTCTCACCTCTACATTCAGTTTCCCAGGAACCCAGATGTACCCCTGCCCTTCCTGAGCCAATAAATTCCCCTTTTGCCTAAGCTGTGTCAAGTTTGGTTTCTGTTGCTTACAACCAAAAATGCTCTGGCTAGCATGGAGATAATGCCTGGAGTTATAATAACACAAGAAGAGGACTGTAACCTGTTCCTGGGGACCCAGAATTGGTGGTGGTGGTGAGGGTGGGGGTCAGAAAAAAGATTCCTGGAGAAGGTGACACTTCATCTGATTTCTCAAGGAGTCAGGACCAGGGTAGAAGAGACTGCAAAGCTTCCCAGGCAGAGGGAGCAACGTGAACAAAGACATGAAGGACAGGACCATGAGATGTGTGCTTGGAGGCTGCTGGCTGTTCCCGGAGTTCAGGATGAGATGGGGACTGAATGGAAGTGAGCCTGGAAAAGTCAGCAGGGAGCAGTTCATGCCATGTTCAAAAGCTCCACCTTAATCTTGTGGGCAACAGGGAGTCGTGGGCGAGTTTCGAGCAGGCAAGTGCCGTGGACAGATTTTTGTTTTATGGAGATCTCACTGGGACTTAGAGAAGCAGGTAGATCATGGAGGGGTCGTTGCCACAGCCCAGAGTTGACTTTGAAGGGCCTGTGGACACCTGGGGGAGATGGCCAGCAGGGAGTCAGGGCTAGAAGTCTGGGCCTCGGGAGGACATCTCACCTGGAGACACAGAGCCGGGGTGGTGACCATGTCGATGGCCGCGGCTTGGGAAGACTGGGAGGTAGAGAGAGCCCCACCAGAGTCTAAGGACCTCCAACCCGCCATTGCGGGGGCTGGCAGAGACGGGGCGTCTACAAAAGCAGCGGAGAGAAGGAAATGTCAGCGCCACGTGGCCACGTGAGCAGAGCCCAGAGCAGGTTGTCATGGAAACTGAGCTAGTGAAGCGTTTCTAGGAAAGAGGGATCAGCAGGACCAAATGTAGCAGAAAATTCCAAACCGATGAAGGCTGAAATTTTTCTTTTGATTTGGCAATTAGTAGAACATTGATGAGCTTAATGAGAGCAATTTCAGGGGATGGTGGGCCAGCCCGGGGGTGGGGGCAGAGATTGATTTAGGAGGTAAGACAGACCAGAGTTGGTGATGGGGTGCATATTGGAGGAGGAGGAGCAGGAGGACAGTGTCAGGCAAGACCCCCGCTCTCTGGCATTCGGAAGGGACTGGATGGCAGCGGGGACGCTACAAGAGGATCAGGTTTGCAAGAGGAAGATCGGGAGTTCCATTTGGGACGTTTTTATCTAACAAACACACACATTTGGGCTTTGACGATGTCTGACCCTGTTCTAAGAACTTTACTTATATTAATTCATTTATACTTAGAACTATCCTAAAGGTAGCTACTACCTGATTTATCGTCATCTACACGTGAAGAAACAGACACAAAGAGGTTGAGAAACTTGCCCACAGCAAGGAAGGGGCAGAATACAGATTTGCAGCCAGGCAAACTGGACACGTTGGTGTGAGGTCCTCAAGATAAACAAATGGGGGTGTCAAGGAGGCAGGTGGGTCTAGGTTTCAGGAGGTTCAGGCTGGAGGTGTAAGCCGTCCCCACACAGGGAAGGACCTTGCCTCAAGCCCGTGTCAATGGGGGTGTACACCGGGGGATCACTGGGTCCTAGAGGGTGTCAAAGCTTCAGGGATGGGTGATACTGTGGGAGAGGGTCCAGGTGGAAGCCAGACCATGACAGCATTTAGAAGGGCCCACCAGGGAGATTGAAAAGGCAGGGCCAGAGGTCAGATGTGGGGAGAAGTGTCACTCCAGAAGGTAGAGTGGCCGACTGCGGGCCATGTCCAGAGAGGTCAGGGGAGGTGACTTGGCCATGGGGAGGCCTTTGGGGATATTTGCCAAGCAGCCTCAGAGGAAGGCATAGGAACCTTGAAAAGGGAGCACACAAAGGTCTGGCAGGAAGGAGGGAGGGATGAGGGGAGCTAGGAAGGGGAGCAGGGTCCGGAAAGGTATTAGTATTATTTTCTTTTTTTTTTTGAGGAAGATTGGTCCTGCGCTAACATCTGTTGCCAATCTTCCTCTTTTTCTTTTTTCTCCCCAAAGTCCCAGTACACAGTTGTATATCACAGTTGTAGAGTTGTAGCTCTTCTACATGGGATGCCGCCTCAGCATGGCTTGATGAGTGGTGAGTAGGTCCACTCCCAGGATCCGAACTGGTGAACCCCAGGCTGCTGAAGCGGAACATGCGAACTTAACTGCTAAGCCACCGGGCCAGCCCCCCAGAAAGATACTATATTTTAATGGAAACTTCTTTTATTTTATGTTATATATATTTTTTCTTTTCCTTTCTGTTCTTTTTTTTTTTTTTTTTGGTGAGGAAGAGTGGCCCTGAGCTAACATCTGTGCCCATATTCCTCTATTTTGTATGTGGGTTGTCGCCACAGCATGGCTGGTGAATGATGTAGGTCTGCGCCTGGGGTCCAAACCTGCAAACTCTGGGCTGCTGAAGCGGAGCATGTGAACTTAACCACTACACCACCAGGCCAGCCCCAGAAAATGTTTTTTTTAATTAAAAAACATTTTAATTAGAAAATACATTCACATGGTTCAAAATTCAAAACCTACATTAGGGTCAGCCCAGCGGCATAGTGGTTGGGTTCACACGCTCTACTTCTGCAGCCTGGGGTTTACAGGTTGGGATCCCAGGTGCGGACCTACACCGCTCATCAAGCCATGCTGTGGCGGCAACCCACATACAAAATAGAGGAAGATTGGCACAGATGTTAGCTCAGGAACAATCTTCCTTGGCAAAAAAAAAAAAAAAAATTCAAAACCTATGAAAGAATGCCAGGTAAAAAGTTTTCCTCCCACCCTTTTCCTCCTGCCCCACTGGTCCCCTTTGTAAAGCAACCAGCATACCGTTCCAGAGACAGAAAATAAAAATTCACAATGTGGAATTCCAGAATTCTGTAAATACAGAGGAAACAAATGTCAGAATATTGAAGCTCTCAGGGGAAGGATGCCTTGCAGAGCAAGTGATGGAACAGAGGGACACACGAGCTGAGGGCGCAGGGGTCCCGTGTGGCGGTGGGAAATTAGTTTTGGATGAGAACACGTGTTTCACTGAACGGAACAAAATGAAATCCTTCTCCTGCTGCCGAGTACCGTGAGCTGGGCGTTCTCCTGGGCCCTCTAGGCCGCCCGGGGCCCGGCGGCAGCCGCTGTCTCAGGATTTTGTCCTGCCCCACAGCTGGAACCCCCCGCCCTCGCCTTTGAGTCAGCCACAGCACCTGGCAACGGCCTTAACCCGGTGGCTGCCGAAGACACGTTTTCTGACATGAAATGAAATGTCTGAAATGGGGCTCAGTCTTTTTTTAAATTTTTTTAATTATTGAAACCAATTGGAGTGTCAAAGGGGCCATGAATGGAGGCTCGAGGGCTGAGGGAAGGGTGGCAGAGGCTGAGTGGGGAGCGTGGGGCCAGGGAGGAGATGCAGCTGCTGACCCGGAAGGTTCCTGAATCCCTGGCTGCCTGTGGCATCAGGAAGTGAAGCCGCACACGACAGGGCCACCATTTCCAAGGCTGTTGGGGCCCCGCGTGCAGTTGGTGAGGGGAGTTTGTCCCCCTTGTCCCAGCAGTCCCCGACTCCGTGGAGGCAGGGGCTGGACTGAGAAGAAGCCCAAGGGGTTATGGGACGGGGTCGGGGGTCACTGTGTCCCCCAGTGCCTTTCCCCTGCCTCATTCTGTGACTCCAGGCAGATGGCCCCCTCTCTGGGCCTCAGTCCCTCCGGCTGTAGAAATGGTGGGTGGGGGTTTGGGGGAGAAACTGCACAGGGCGACCTCTCCTTGTTTCCTCCATTTTGGGTCCTGACCACGTGGACTCTCAGCATCATGGGCCGCCTTCCCCGTCTAGAGTGATGCCCCCGCAGCCACCCAGGACCCAGTTCGCCATCCGTGGGCCTGAGGGACCCCACTGTGCAGCACACACCAGCGTCATGGAACCAGAACCAGGAGGCTCATGGGGTCAGTGGGCATCCCCAAAGCCAAGCTTCTGGTAAGTTGGAGGGGTGGGCGCTGGGCCCTGGGTCCCCCCGAGCCTTGAGCGGGGCATCCTTGGGGAGCCAGGTTGACAAGTTCACCAGCAGGCCTTCCACAGCCTCACGTGCGATGGGAGCCCAGCCAGCGGGATCCCTGCCCCCGCATGACGCCTGGCCCCCATTCCTGCTGGTCTGGGACGTGGCCTTCGTGGGCCTGTTCCCGGCTATGACCCCTGAGAAGGAACCTGGGAAACTGCCCTGAGGCACTGACATTCTTTGTGTACATTTTAATATTTTTAATTGAAAATTAATACATCTATGGGGTGAGCACCCCCGTCCCCCTCCCCAGAGGCCACCCCTGTCTCCTGGCTCACATGAATCCATGAGGCCTTAGTGGGGCTGGCGGTAGGGTGGAGAGGGACTGCAGGTGCGCGGGATGAGTCGACCTGTCAGATGTGGGGGTGCGGGAAGGAGAGCAATGGGGTGCTTGTACCCGGGCTCCCGCCCTGGAGACCTGTGGCGGTTGGCACTGTTCCCTGCAGGGGCGATCTGTAAAGAGTGGAAGATGACGAATTCAGTTTAGGACATTTGGGGCTGCGGGAGGCCGGAGGAACATGAACGTCTGGTGGAGGAAGTCACTTGGCACAGCAGACTGGGCCCCTCACCAGGTACTAATGAGCCTCCATCCTTCCCTGTCTCTCTAGAAGCTCCCCCTCCACATTCCCAGCAACTATTCCATAAATTCTCCACTCTCCACAAAACACTGACCTCTTTTCCCACCCTGCCCCCTTCCCACCAGATGGTACTGCCCCCGCTCCAGGGTGGGCACAACTTCGCCTCTCACCCCTCACCCTCCAAAGCGGGGATTACCCCTCCACCCATATCATCAGGCCTATCCCTCCCAAGGCTCCAAGCCCGACCCCCCCCCCCCGCCCTGTCCTTCCCGGAGCGCACCCTCCCTCCTGATCTCCAAGCCCTCACTCACTTGGCAAAGGATCCCAGTCCCACCCATCCCCGAGTCGATGCTCCCTGGACCCTGCGCGCCTCCAGCTCCTGCCTCTCTCAACATCGTGGCAAATCTCCCATTTGCTCCCCACACAGCAAGCCAGGTCCACTCCCACCAAGACTCCAGGACCATCCTGGTCCAGGTCCCAGCAAACCCCGCACCAGGTCTCAGCCCTCACCCACTGGATCCTCAGTGCGCTTGGTACTGCCGACCACCGCCCTGTTACCACCTCATCTCGGGCCCCTGGTGCCACCTCTCCTGGTTGTCCCCTCACCTCCCGCTGCCCCCTCTCCATGTCCCCTTACCAGCGTTTCTCCTCTACTCTGCCCTGAAATGTTGGAGTCCTTCAAGGTAGCCCGGAGCCCCTTTGTCTTCACACTCACACCCTCTCCACCCCATCACTGTAAACACATCTATATGCTGCCGATCCCCAAATGTCCATCCGCAGCCCAGCCCAGCACCAGGCTCCACACCCACATAGCAGTGCCGTCCTGTCTTTCTCGGGCTAAGATGTGGAGGTTGTCCTTGACCCCACACCTCTCCCGGCAATCAGAACCAGGTCCAATCTGTTCAGTCTTGCTCATATTTCTCAGACCTGCCCCCTCCTTTCCATCCCCGCTGCCTCCCTGGTCCAGGTGCTAGTCTCATTCTGCCCGTGCCTATGATAACCCCTGTCTCTTCCGCCCAGGTCCACTCTTGCTTAAAACAATCTCCACTGCTTAGAACAATCGGTAGCTCCCCACCGCCCTTAGAATAAAATTCATACTGCAAAATTCTGACCTCTGCCCCCTTTTCCAACCTCATTGCCCACCACTCTGCCCTCCACTCACTACACTCCAATCACAAAAGCCCATTAATTCCTCACACATTATCCTCTTCTTCATGCCTCAGGACCTTTGCACATGCCTCTTTCTGCCTCAGCTAGCTAATGCCTACTATGGTTCTATCTTAGCCCAAATGTTACTCCCCAGGGCAGTCTTCCTTGAAGGCCAC